CCACCAACTAGCTATTCATCGTCAACTCTAATCCATGACTTTCATTCTCATTTTGATTTGTCTATACTAATGCCATCGCACAAGTCCATGTGCAAAAGCTCATCAATTTGAATTTGATCAATATACATACATAAACGAGCGGGACGAATACAAGTGTGTGTGTGTCGTATCATACATACATACAGAAGCTGTAGAGACCGCAAACCATTAAGCCATCGAATCATGAGGGGTCATTACACGTATATACAGAGTAGCCGTTTTTTGTGTTTGTTCGGGGATGTGAAAAGCAGGCAAAGGTCTACGACGGCCCAAGTCATAGGGGTATCAGCTGCGAATGGGACACTAGTAAGAGTAACGTGGTGGTCCAGGTGAGACGTCGCTGTTAGCGAGCTTGTCCCAATGTAATGTAAAACAATTCAATAATGACCAAACTTGCCACTTACTCACTCTCCCATGGGTCTCCTCCCCCTCCTCCACCACGACCGCCCTCGTAATCTCCCTCTACTTCGAATGTCGTGCCTAGGGCTTCTTTACCCTGGCGAATCATGTCTCGCAGACGAGAGTTGAAATCGTTAATCCGCAAATCTGTCTCTATCTCCTCCTTCATTCGTTTTGCTGCCAAGCTTTTAGCCTTGGCATCTAGTCGCGGGGTGTTGTCTTGCTTCTCGTGCATGGACTCTCGCTTTGTCACCTTCATTGGTGAGATCGACGAGGTCGACATGGCGCTCTGGGACCGCCGGTGACCGCGTTCGCGTTTCGCGTAGGGGCTCGGGCTCGATGCTCGAGACGGCTGCTGTGTGAAATGACTTGCTGCAAAGGGACTGGGGGACTGTGGTCGAGAGGGAACGGGAATTCTGCTGGGGACCTGCGCTATCACAGCAGGTGACGCAGCTGGGGATCTGGTGGATGCGAAACTAGCGGGCTCGTGGGTCGAGATGGGAGCCGGGCTCGGTCGGGTGGGTCGGGTAGGAGCTGGAGGGTGACGGTTGAAATTCGGTGCATTGAGACGGCTAACGGGCTTGCTGATGCGGCGGACGAGTGACGGTGATGCCGTTCGTTGCACCGGGCGGCGGGATGACGCTCGTGATGCTAGCGAAGGCTGTCGGCTCACGTTAGCTGGCTCATCAATCATGACCCAGTTCTTGCGCAGCTCGTCAGTATGAGTTCCATGCGATATCTGTCTTCGCTTTGCTGCAGGTGGTGGTGTTGACTCGGGCGTGTCTTGCTCATAATAATATTGTGAATCGTCGGGCTGAGGGAGGTCTGCTGATAAAGGGCTAAGACCCCATCCTACCTGACTGTTGGCTGACTGTTGTTGCGTTTCCTGGGATACTTCATATCCCCTGCCGCCTCCGGCGTAGAAACCTCGAAACGCGCCGGTCTTGCAGAATTCCCAGACCTTGCCAACTACACCGCCGATCGTACTGATTGCATAAGAACCCCAGCCAGTGGAGATCTGATTGTCCAATTCGAGTATCATGGGCCTCGACGCCGGTGAGTCGACGTCATCGCGCGATCGTTTAGATCCGAGGGCACGCCTGTAATCGACATCAGAATAAACGCTATCCTCCATATGTCCAAGCTCCTTCTGCATGGCTCCGCTCGGTGTTTCTATCTGGCCAGCCAGCACATATCGCTTCTCGTTTCCGTTTGCACGAAAGTCAAAGTAGGAGCGACTGTCATTTATATGATCTGCGTTGAAGTTTCCGTCTCCCGTCATTGCCCAGTCCCTGATGGGTGTGGACTCCCTTGCACCTATTCGCTTCCTCTTAGCGTTTGAGATGGGCGTGGGTATCTCTGATTGCAAGCTTGCCGTCGACCTTCCGAGATACATGGAGCTCGAGACAGACGGGGATGCCGGAGGCCGAAAGAGCCCCGGATGCACGCCTGGAAAGGGTGTGCCTTTACCACCGCCACCGTTTGGTAGGTCGAGATGAAAGGTGCCGGACATGAGGATCTGAGAATTATATGACATTTCTAGTGAGGCGTTTGGATGGATATAGAGAGTGGTGTATTCGGTTGGAAGGAAGAGCGAAGGTGAGGCTGGCGGAACGGTAGTCGTGAGAACGTTAACGCGCGGCCTCGGTGTCGCGGTGGCTTATTTGGTCAATATGTACATAAAAAAAAAAGACCTGAATGACTTCGAAAGGTCGTTCGCTAACTCGCTCGATAAGAATGTCAGAGTGTGTAAATTCCGGTCGATCTCGTGTCGCTATGTTACTTTGGTGGTTTTCTTTGGGGGTGATTAGTTTGGTAGTGAATGTCTGTTGCGCGGTGCACCGACGACGGCTGGGGAGCGCGTGATTCGATGCTTCGCGACAATCTCGAAGTCGTATAATGCTTATATCTAACTGATGCGATCGGTATTCGCGTTGAACTGCTGCTGTGTAGTACTATTCGAGGCACGGCAGCTCGCACGCTTCAACAAACCATGTAGGTATGCTGCCTGCGTGAAAAGGAGGACTTAAGCGAGGGGGTGCTTGACGGGGATGACCATAGTCTGACGGTATTGATTTCCTGCTTGCCGGCCCTTACACACAAGACACATGACCCAGCCAAGGGTTGGATGGAACAGAGCTAGCTAATGCCAGTAGCCGGTGCGACATACGGATGGATGGATGAGTGCTCGGGAAGTGTATTTGACAACGAGCCCTGCACAATTTCAAGCCACACACAGGCGAAACCCAGAGATTGTATGGTTTGAGTTTGCTGCCTCTACATCGGGGCGAATGGCCTACGCGACTGTCGACTGGCAAGAAGGGGTCGCTTTGGTTGTTGTGGTCGCGTTGCTGGGCCAGCATGCAATTAATCAAACAGTTCCTATTCAGGGTACCGTTCACGGCCTAGAACTAAGCTGGGGTAGGTGCTGGGATGATGAGAAGGACCCTTGCGGTGGGGCGCCGCGGGGCATTTCGCTTCAGTAAAGTGATTGCTGCAGCTTCGCCTGGATGCACTGATGATACACAATCTCCCAGAGATACATACAGCATACAAACTTAAAATTAACATGCTTCAGTATTTTGGGTATTGGTCTATCTCTATTTCCCCGTTGCCTCTAATGATGAGCTCTATCTGCTTTTCTCTCTGTACTACAATGAGACCGAGCAAACCCCGTCAAATGTCTTGCATTTGCGTGTTTCCTGTGTAAGTGTATGTGAGAATTAGCCACATGGCTTAAGCCAGAACCGAGAATGGTCTTTCTTGGTCGATGTAAGGCTTTCTAAGGAGACACCTCGTTGTCCTTGTTGTAGTAAGCTTCCTGCTTCTTAAGCTTGTCAGCTTTGACGCCGCCGTCGACGCCCGCCTCGCCATGGACATGCGCTTTGGTGCCCCAGAACTCGTCGCGCTCCTTCAGAATCTCCTCGGCCCATTTCTTCGTCTCTGGAAGCACTATCCTCGTAGCCACGTAGGCGAACTCGCCGAGGTCGAGGGCCTTGCTGGCGCGCTTCTCGTACTCCACCATCTGTGTCAGGAGTTCCATCTTGTCGAGATCGTGTACGAAGTGGCTGTCCAGTGTCTCGGAATCCTCGTATTCCTGCCAGATCGCCCGGATCTCTGCGCCTGCGAGGCCGCCGTAGACCTTTCCAAGCAGGTTCTTGGATATGTAGTCCATCGTCTCGGCCTCGCGACGGCTCTTCTCTGGCTTCGATACGCCGTCGACCGGGGTGATATCGCCGACGATGGACTCGGCCATGTCGTGTATTAGGCACATCTTCATGCACTTGAAGAGGTCGAGCTTCGGCGCGAGCGTGGGTGGGCAGAGCATCGTCATGAGGGACATGCGGTACATGTGGTCGCATATCGATTCGCCTCTGCGTACGTTGCCATCAGCCTTCAAACTTTGGTGGTTGGACATGTCGGGGTATAGTACCTCTCAATATTGAAGCGTCTCCATCCCTCGCGCTTGTTGGTCTTGAGTCTCTCGAGGATGTGGAAATATGGAACGGGCGAGTCGGTGCCCTCAGCAGGCGGTGCCGGAGACATGGTAGCTATCACCTTCTCTACTGCCCATGGTTCGGAGATCTGGGGCGTCGTCACGATGCCGGGATCTAGAAGCGCTCTCAGTTAGTGTTTGCAACACCGGGAAAGAGAAATCTGGCTGACTAACCGATAAAGCCATTGCTGTCACCGTTGCCAACGCCCGATGACATCTTGTCTCTGATGTTTTATTGGTAGCTTCTGTGAAAATTTGTATCGGATTTGGCAGCTTCAGGTGTCGATCACGAATATCGTGAGATCCAGAGGGAGGGAGAGTGTGGTTGAGGATCTGAATTAGAGGTACAAGTGGGAAAAGAAGGAGAAGTGTGGAATATAAAACTAGGTCGGTATTAATATTAATGCATGCAGATGCGCCGGGTTGTCGGTTGTCTAGGTGCGTTTGCTTCTGGACGTCAACAGAAAAGCTGGTGTTGGCCTCAGAGCCTGGCTAGGTATACTAATTATTTGCCTATGAAAGACTCAACAGCGACGCCGCAGAAGTCGCTCGAAGTTTACTGTAGTTTTTATTTTCACCTGTTGGGATATGTGAAGGGCATGCGATCTTATCTATAACGTGTAACGTGGGCTCTGCATGAAGCTCAGTACCTGGGGCCTGCCCACTTCGATTAGCACATGAAATACCCATTCTACTATTGGATAATTCCAGACGATAGCTCCGGTGCCGGACCCATTTACATGTGGTTGTCCCAGAGTTCTAGTCAACACCGGCCTGTAAAGTAGTGAATGATGTCAGTAGAGAACGTCAGCAAAACGAAGTGTTACAGGGGTAGATATGTAGATACCACCTCGATTAGACTGACGGTCTGACAATTACTTAAGCTAAAATATGTCCGACTTACAATTGAACTACCCAGCTACAACGCGCCCTGTTCTTTTTCCAATTCTTCGGTAGCGGAGTACAGGCCTGTTACTCCTCTACCGCTTATCACTACCTATGCCTACCCCACACTACAAAGATTTTCAGCTCTTGAATATAGTGGTCATTTTGATCAATGCTGTCATCCGAATTGGTGTAGTGGCTAACATTTGACGCTCTCATTTACATCATCAGTCGTAAAAAAGTGCCGTCAAGCCCGGGGTTCGATTCCCCGATTCGGAGTCCCTTTTTCGACTTTTATTGCCTACATTCGTGCCTTTCTTTCAATTTCTCTTGTTCTTTTTATCTGCCTCTACTTCTGTACGTCACTTCATGAACCAATTAGACACAACTCGTTTTGGTGTAGCAGGTGCGTAGGGTTCACATCAACAATTGAAAACACGGCAGAAGCGGCTGAAAATTCTACGTACATGTTAGGCCTCCGTGCGTAACTTATATGGCCTTTGGTTAAGGTCATTCTTCCGGATATTGGTCTGAGCATAATTGACACAGAGGCTCTTTCATCTCCGTAACAATTTCTCTTTCAGTTCTATTGCCCAAGCCAAGATCCGCGATCTCATTCTTCAGGAAGGCGAGTATTCTGGCCTCAGATATGAGGTTCTTGTCAGAAGACTCCTCTCCGGCGCGGATAGTGATCGATTCGAGGTGCGGGTACGTCTGATTCCTTCTGATTTCGTTGATCCACCCATATTTCACGTAGCAGTGATCTAACGTGAGATGGCGTAACCGTGGGAGACGGTAATATATTAGGCGAGAATTACCACGATCGAAGAATAGGCCATTAATTATGTGTAGCGAGTGTAGTCGCGGCCAAAATCCCTTGCGCAATAGATTGGTCGGAAAATTCTCTATACGAAAACAATAATTATCCCCTCTGCTTGGCATTTTCGAAAAACAAGACTTGAAACTTCTCAGGTTCTTGGCCCGTTGAAGGTGGGCAAATAACGAGTCCGGCCTGTACCGAGATTTTTGCTTGTCTGAAATAATGCAGATATTGATGGTTGTCAGATGCTGGAATGCCGGTGACTCTTTGAGATGGAGCTTGGCGTCCCAAATATCCTGTCTTCGGAATCTAGTGTTTAGATTTAAGGTTCGCACCCTACACCAGGGTTGAAGAAGGACGGAAAGAATAATGGTGAAGTCGAATTTGTAATCCTGGTAACCACTCGCAGTTCCTTCTCCAGGAATGATCTTGCCGAACACTTGATTGTCGGGCATGGGCTTAATAGTGAGGGTTGTCATATTCGGCATATTTTCAACTTGCTCGCTAATCCAATCTGCTGCCGCCTGCCGCATATTTTCCCAAGTGCCATCACCCCGAAAGGGATAAATACTCCCTCGCGAACGAATAGGTATCCAGAGGAGTTTCGAACCTCCCAATACCCTTTGCAACACTACACTTGAATGCGCTTCCCGCGGGAGATGCTCCCGCGTCCATTCACCGCAAGGGTCCAAGTCAGGTCCCTGCCAGACGATCTCCTGCACATATATCCCGTAAATTTTCAGAATCTTCTCGAACTCATCTCTGTCCTCTCTCAAGCGCGAGAGAATGACTCGACCATAGAACAGAATAGGTTTTGCGATAGCAGCAAAGGCGGTACAAGTAAGTCTCAAAGATCCCATGTCCTGACGTGACAGTTGACCCTCTATGATCAGTTTCTCGCATAGCTCAAGTGGTAACTGCAAGATGAACGGTTGGGGAAGCATGTTTGTTGATGGTTGGTAGAGAGGATCAAGTAAGAGCGAGAGTATCGTTGGTTTAAAGTGCGCCCAGAGGAAATCCTATAGCTCTCTAGTACAAACAGATACCTAAACGATGAAGTTGACAGTATCCAGTATCGAAACAAGATTTAGAAGGATAGGTTAGGAGAGATTGCTAAGAAGCACCGCGTCGTATCCCTGGTGACGTACACAAGGTCAAACAAAACAGGTCCCATCATCTGAGACACCTAGCTCCACTTCGTATGTAAGGAGGTAGTACAAACGTAAGATTCACCAAAGATTAATGTAAGACTTTCTGTTACAAACCCTACGCCAGTGAGTTTTCAACTCATACCCCGAAAATGACCCAAGTAAATTCATGACCGGCAATCGTATTGATTCACTATTGATATCCGGGGCCTGTTTTTGGTCATCTATGCCGTAATGTTTTATGTGTAAATCATTATTACTTTCTGGTACGTTCTATCTTAGCAATTCAATGATGAGTTTCTTGTTTTTCTCGATGGCCTCCATGATCTCGCTGACGCGAATATACTCGTCTTTTCCATGCGCTACCCGGATTGAACCCGGACCATAGAGCACCTTTTTATGGTCGCCTCGCAGTCTCGGTATATCCGTACCATACGCCATCGGCTCCGCCTCGAAGCCTTCAAACTCCCACTCCAGCAGCATCTCAGAATACTGGAATTTGAACTCGACGTCAACGTCGGGATGCTTGTCTATCACCTCCTTTACTGTCCTCTTGATTCCCTCTACATCCTTCGAAACACGGATGCTGCAGAGCGCCTTGGCTTCCGCTGCTAGGATGTTATACCCGGCTCCGCCCTCGATCTTGCCGACATTTAGAGTCGACGGGCCCAAGAGGTCCGAAACTGGCCATTCGACTGCTGTGAGATCATTCATTGCATCGAAGAGAAGTAGCGTCGCGCTCTTGCCCAGGTGTGGGTATCCAGAATGGCTTTACGCAAACGATCAAGTCAACATCCGTCCTCTTTTTCACAAATGAGTACAATCAACGAGGCTTAGAAGCACTTACCAGGCTTTCCCATGGGCAATCACTTCAAACACCAGGTTTCCCTTGTGTCCCTTCGCCACATTTCCCTCCGTAGGCTCGGCGAAGAGCCCCGCATCCCATGTGAGCCCCATATCGTTCGCGGCAATCATTCCTGGGCCACCCTTCTCCTCGCCGACAACCCATAAGAAGCTCACATCTCCCTCCTTCAACTTTCCTTCGGCGCGCAATTCCTCCACTGCGAATATCTGTGCGACCATGGGGCCCAGATCGTCGCAAGCGCCGCGACCGCGGATCACATCGCCGTCGATGCTGAAGGGGATGTGAGGCGGCACCGTATCCATGTGCGCAGTGACGAGCAGCCGCGCTTTTCGCTCTTGGCCTAGATATGCGTAGACATTGTGCCGTGTCGAGCCCGGCTCAATCGCAATTCGTTCCGCGGTGAACCCCCGGCCTTGTATGTACTTTTCCAGGTATTGTCCGATCTCGAGTTCTTTTTCACTGGTGCTCTCGATGTTCATGAGCGTTTTCAGGAGCTCAACCACCTCCTTCGAGTCCGTTTTAGCCGCCATGATATTATGCCTAGTGAGAAAATTCGCTTATTTTAGTTACGCTCTTTAACGATTCAAAGGATCACGGTAAATGTTGGAGAATTCTTTAACTATAGCTAAGTATCCCTTGAGCGGTCCGGGCGGGGTCAAATCTAGACTGTCCCTTGCCGATCTCCGCAGTTTCAAGTCGGCTGTTGAGGGCATTTATTCTCCAATCTTCGCCCGGCATCAAAGCTACGATGCACATTAACATAAGCGCTATATGAAATATCATATTGCCCCCTTGAGTTATGAATAGTAAAGCTTGTAATCAAGCTCAACGAATGCTGAGATCTCAACCCCGCATATTATGACAATATGGGAGCTGACACGCAAGGATAGTTTCAACTTACACCCGTTCTGTTTATTTTGATAGTGTATAGTTCATATAAGGCATCAATCATGATTCAATCTTTCATGGCACTCTAATTCAAATTCATTCGGTCATTCTAATTCTGCGCTGCTCAATACCAAATGACGTCATCACAATAGTTCTATTGAATTGCCATCGACGCTACCACTACACTTATACCGATCCCGCGTGTTCAAACGCAAAAATCGATGAAATATGAAATCAATTAATGATATCACATACCAATGCCTCGAGCATCCTTTCTTCTTCATAACTTTCGAAAAGCCACCATAATCCTTACGCGACAACCACGTGTCTCTCACTCAACTAAGGCCCATATGACTTCAAATTCACATCGACCAACGTCCACGAGACGTCAAGACCGACCATCAGTCCCCTCAACTCCAGAAGAATATGTCTACGTCCTGACAATCAAAACCGACCCTGCGCATCAGAAGTGTATGTCCGAGCTACGCACGCGATACTTCCCACCTCATCTCCTAAAGGTCGACGCGCACATAACGCTGTTCCACGCACTCCCAGAGTCTCTCAAGTCCGTCGTGATCTCAGACCTATCATCTCTGTGTGCCAAGATCTCGCCCTTTGATATCCGCGCCGCGAAGCCCTTCCGCATGGGGCGCGGTGTAGGTGTCCATGTCTCCGGACTCGCGCCCGTGGAGAAGTTGTGCGCGGAGTTGCAGACGCGGTGGGATGGACACTTGACGCCGCAGGACAGGAACAAGTTTAGGGGCCATTATACATTGATGAATAAAGTCGATGATCGGGAGGTTATAGACAAGTGTCTGGCGGAGCTTGAAAGCGACTTTGCGGGCTGTGAGGGTCTGGCTACTGGTCTTGATCTGTGGAGGTATGATCGTGGTTGGTGGCGATATGAGAGAGATTTCGAATTCTCTGGTTTGTCGTTGTGATGTCTATAGAGAATGCCAATATCAAGATAAGAGCTAGACAAGAGTATTCTTAGTTTCGTCGGTGATATAAATACGTAGTAGACAAACAATAGTCAATGCGATAGCTGCCATTCTTCCCTTCCTGACACTCGCGTCAATTATCAATACGAAACCCCTTCATACTTCTAATCCAGTTCTCGGCTGTTCACTTCATGATATGCGAAATACTTAACGGGATTAAAAGATCAGTTCACAGCATCGTCATAAAAACACGTTCGGGAGTTCTTTTGGTGAAATCTTCGCAGTTAATTAAGCTATCTAAATGTACAATATTAGACTATTGCTATGGGGGCGAGGTGAGTCTGTAATTGACTGAGGATTATACAATGTGCATGTGAAATGTGAGGGTGCTGTTGGCGATATGAATTGGGAGATCTATCTGGTTGTTGTGCGGCTATGCGTAACGAATACAATTCTTCCTCTCTTTCTCTTTTTCTTTTTCTTCTTTTTTGTCTCTTCATCTTGTTACTCGGAGTCATGGAGATAACATCCTTTCGTAAATTGTAGAGGAGATTGGTGTAGTTGCTAGGCTTTGGTGGCAATATGATGAGAAAACGAGGGGGCGAGAGTTGTACAGC